CTTATAGGCCTTGATTGCACTATATTCAGTTAGTACAATGACTGGGAAATGTGAATGGAATAGAAAAGTGACACAGTCCTGACATTTAAGTGTGAGTACTGCAGTTCTTAATAAACAGAAGTTAAATTCTTTGAGTAATCCCAGTTATGATTATAGTAGAATTGAAAGTCATTTGTCATACACATTGCCACATTAAAATTACCAGAGGTGATGCTCTTCTGTTCAGTAAAATTAGAATATCCCGGGACCTTCCGCAAAATAAATCCATTGTGATCTGCACTCACTGGGCATTCCATGTCTTTGTGGTAGGCCCGATATGAGGACATAAGATATCTGTAGTAGTAATCAATTTCATTTACTGGGTAATGGGTTTATAACCTCTTGTTCATTGTATGCCAGGAGTGGAGAGATACAAGGCTTCCCCTTGATCCTTCTTTACAATAATGTTCCACACACCACAGGTCAGGAAGCAAGGTTTAGACAACTGCCACATCTGAACATTTCAGTGGCATGTTCAGGATTAGGTAAATTACTACAAACACACTAGATCGTCTTGGAATGCATAGCGTCAGAACTCTCAGCAGCTTGTGGTATTTAGCAACTTTCGCTCCATCCGTGGACCACAAGCTCCCTTGTGTCCTGAAATAGTAGTGTCCTTTCAGGTCCCATTCTTACCTGTATCCCAGAGAGTATGTACATGTACCCTCTCCTTAGGGAAATACATCCTGATACATAGTTATAGATCCTTAGGAGTACTAGACAAATGCTTTGTGAACACATTAGATAGTCCCATGGTTAATTTTTGTCAAAAGACTAGGACTTTCTCGATCTCTGGACTCTGGTTCTTTTAACTGGCTCAGTCCCAATAACTGGGTTAGGAGTTTTGGGGTTTCTCATAGAGTATCCACAGAGATTAATTTATTGGTTCTCTCAATCCTTTATTTGAGACATGTTCTTACTATGTAGAGGAGACTGTCCTTGAGCTCACTATGTAGCACATCTCATTATTTCTTCACTTTTTAGACTTCAAAACTTTTCTGATACTTGCACATGATATAACTCCATAAAGCTCCTGCCCTGATCACATACCTGACTCTGAACATGGCAGGATCATCCATGATTCTGTGCTTTCCCTACTCAGTCTTCATCCTGAGGCACTCTCTGCAGCACTGGAGGAAACCCATTTCCAGAACACTGTCTTCTCCTGGTTGATATTTTATTCCAGTAAGCACAACATTCTCTCACTTTATTATACTTCCCATTTTCCCTAAAAGTAAGTATCAAAGAGACCAAGCCTTCCATTTTACGAATCTGGTAACTAGTTATAGTTACCTTTCTGGAGGTCTCACACAGTCTTCTTACTTACAATTCAAACATTTCTGTAAAGGAATAAGGCTGACTAGGCAAATCATTCAACCTAAAAATCAATCTAGCATCAATCAGTCTATCTGTCATCTATCTATCTATCTATCTATCTATCTATCTATCTATCTATCTATCTATCTATCTGTTCTACCTTCTATCTATCATATCATCTATCATCTATCTATCTACCTATCTATCTATCTACATATCATCTATCTATCTATCTATCTATCATCTATCTATCTATCTATCTATC